ACATAAGAGCAAAACCTGTAGCACAGGTCCTTGTCAGTGACTTGGACTAGAAACTTTGAAGATTTCAGTAACTTTTTATTTTCCCATTAATATATAGCTAATTAAGTGCCAATTTTGGGAAAATGGTCTACTGAAATATTACCTTTGACTTATATTTCTGATGAACAATTGCAAAACAAACTTTGAGTATTGGGAAGTTACCAAGCTCATGGGGTAAGAACAATTTCTCTGAAATTCTTACTTTGACTTGAAAGCCCAGAATCTATCCCTAACTGCAAAGACGTTCAGTTGTTGCCCTTGATATGATACGTTCACTCCCTTCATTTTTGAGAAAAGTCTTCTAAATACCAAAATACCTAAGTATAGTAACCACAGTTTTTTTCCCCAAGTAAAAATAGTGCCTCTCTCTCTCTCTCTCTCTCACACACACACACATATGCACACACACACACACACACACACACACACACACACACACACACAGCCAGCAGCTAGTTCAGATTGCAACTCAATCTCACAAGTGCTTTCCTTTCAAAGAATCATCACATTATAGGTTACAGAAAGCACAGAGGGCTTAATATGATCTTCCCATTCTGATACGCAGAATATTTTTGAAAATTTACATAAGGGTAAAAATGTAATAATCACTATTACTGCTTCATCAAAGATCAAGAACATTTTAAAATAAGAGTGGCATCATTTTCTCTGCAAGATATTTACTGTTTCATGAAGGATCGGGACGTTCATAAATAAAACTGGAAATGTTCTTGCCACAAGATATGGCAATAAAGAATACCATAACCACCAGCACAATTTGGCATTGCTGCCTTTGTGCTAAAGCACTGCTACAAGTTTTACCTACTGTTGTTTTTTTAACAGCAGAGCAAATGTTGACATAATGAAAAAAGCAAATGTCTTAATACAATTATGAAAGTGACTTTGACCTTGTGAATTCCAAGAAAAGTTTCTGTTAGAGTACTATTTTCTCTTTTTTTTCATTTTTTAATTTTTATTTTAAAATTATGGGGTAGAATTCAGGGTTAGGTATACAAATAATCATTGTGCAGTTACCCTTGTTGATGAAGTGTGCCCCTCGTTTTCCAGGCAGATATCAAGTAATATTTTTCAATTACAGTTTTTGTAATCTGTGCCTTGCTCAAACGATTCCGATGGTTCATCATTGTCCATGGAGAATTTTTGAAAAATCAAACTTTTAAACTTGGACTTTAAATTTGACACATAATCTTACATTAATAGATATGTCACTTCATACGCCCCTTCCTGCAAAGTGGCTCTAGACAAATGAAGCTATTACTATTTCTAGCATAAGCCTTGAGAGTTTTCAGGTTTTTTTCCAAATAATTTTGCTGTTTCTTTTGCCTGAAATATTTCACCTCCTCTTGCAATCTTTCCAAGGTTCAACTCAAATGAGACCCAGGTAGATGTCACAGATCCTTCCTCTGAATGCAGAGAGCACTCGGTGACTCCCCATTGCCAGTCTGTCTCTACCTGGGCTAAAACACTTCCCATTCCCTGAAATCTAGCCCGACACCTTACATACAGTTGGTGCTCAATAAACAACTAATTGAATAAAGCACTGAGTCATTCATTACATGTTTCACTGCAGCCACCATATGAGATTGTAGGTTGTAGTTAGTGTTAATGCCTTTGTTCACCAAATAAATTACTTTTCACCATGAACTTATTATGACTCAAGGCCATTCAACTCATGATCTTGATCTCATTTTCCAGTCTGTTCTCCTTAACATTCTCAGATCTGTATAAAGATCTGGCAACCAAAGGCAAAAGGATGTTAAAACGGTTTAAACAGTGTGGAGGACTGTTAATTTTTTTTTTAAGTTTTGTTTGAAAGTTTTTTGAGACAATATTACCATTTGGTTATTTTCCTTAAACACTCAGTAAATTACTCAGAATAAAGGAATTTCCTCAAAACATGGCCAACTTACCTTTTTCCTTCCGGTTTCAAACTTAAGTATTTTATGAACTATAATGAAGTGTATAATATGAAAATGCACATACCTAAATCATTTATTATGGATGATTATTTAAAACAAAAGTGGGCTGGGCTCGGTGGTTCAGCCTCTAATCCCAGCAATTTGAGAGTGGATTGCCTGAGCCCACGGGTTCAAGACCAGCCCAGGCAACTTGACAAGACCTTGTCTCTACAATAAATCAAAATTTAGCCTGTTGCAGCAACACTCCTCAGAAGGCTGAGGCGGAAGCATCGCCAGAGCCCAGCAGGTCAATGCTGGGGTGGCTGTGAGTGTGCCACTGCACCCCACCCTGGGCAACGGAGTGAGACTCCAACTCAAAAAACAAAAACAAAAGGGACCTGTAATCCAGCACTTTGGGAGGCCAAAGTGAAAGGATTTCTAGAGCCCAGGAGTTTGAGAACAGCCTAGGCAACACAATGAGATCCCATCTCTACAAAAATAAAAATAAAAATAAAAAATTTAGCCGTGCGTGTTGCATGCTCCTATAGTCCCAGTGATTTGGAGGCTGAGGGGGGAAGATAGCCTGAGCCCAGGAGGTCAATTACATGGTGAGTCATGATTGTGCCACTGCACTTCAGCCTGGGCGACAGAGTGAGACATTGACTCAAAAGTTAATTAACTAATTAAAAAAGCAAACTATATATACTGCCTAGAAATTGGATTAGAGACTAAATAAAGTTTGTCTTTGGGGGAATTTCAGAGAGCAACTCTCTTTTCAAAGAAACCTTGAGAAAAATTTAGAATGTAAGAACAAAAGGTAGTCTCAGTTTATGTCTCCTTTCATCTATCTAAATTGAGACATAATCTCACATATTTTGTCTTCAGTGATTATAGGTATGGAAACAGGTAAGAATTGGTTCCTAGATTACTGTCTTTAGACTATTGAGAAATGTGCATCTATTTTCTCTCTAAGTAAATGGTATTTATTATGGACATATTAAAGGACTTACAAATAAAAGTGAAAACCTTCCATTACTGCCAATCAAATAACTTCTCACAGGGTTCAATGAAATGTACTCTGGTATTCCTCAGACATTAAGTCCTTGCTGCGCTTGCAGTTTCCTTCATCCTTTGAGATTCAGATTCTAACATGCCCCCCTTTCAGTCTCAATGACTTTACAGACTCTGTCAAATAGTCATTTCTCCACAATGAGCCATGGCACTGACGGCTACAGACCGTCTGGAGAGATCTTCTCACCACGGATTTCTTGCTAGTACCATGCCCGTTGCCTGTGGAGTGGGTGTGGCTAGATATACCTGAGGGTCAGCCACTACCACCAAGGACAGATGAGATTGAGCTCCTTCTGGAAGGGTCTTTTCCAGATAATTGTGTAGAGCAGAGGGTGACCAGTTTCTAACCCTGTTCACTGCTCTGTTCAGTCTATCCTGCTCCATGCCAATTGTTTTCCATCACTTGCACAGCCTCTTCCCTGTAGTACAAGCTTATTTCCAAGAGAATTTGTTTTGGGATTTGTTTCCAAGAGAAGTTGTTTTCCTTTGCTGTGGCGCGTAGAACAGGGGTGTCAACATTTTGTTTTCCATGGGCTGCATCGAATAAAGAGCAATTGCCTTGGGCCCTACATAAATTAAATAATATAGTTAGTGTATGTAATAATAAGACGTATTTTATGTTTATATTTTTATTATCAAGTTTAGAAAAATGAGAACAGCATAAACTTAGTGGGAAGCTTGTCCTTGTGTTTTTAAAACTAATCTATCAATGCCTGGTTTGATGGAAGTGATCACAATTCTTAGGTCCTCAAGGTGCTCATCAGAAATGTTTGTTCGAATTTTGCTCTGCCTGTGCTTCATAATTGAAAACATTTGCTTACACATGTGTGTGCTGCCAAAAAGTGATGTCATGAGTAAAACATGATTGTGAACTTCAAAAATGGAACTACTCACGGGGTCAAAAAATAAAATAAATGCTAAAAAGCACATGATGTTAAAAGATGCTGTGGGGCTGCATGACTAGCTGTTCTGGGCCACATGTGGCCTGCGGGCTGCGGGTTGGACACGCCTGACCTAGAGCTTCTGCATCCTTTATACTGAGCCCCACTTGATTTGTTTCGGAGGCCACACCACGCTTCCTCTCTTCATCAAGCTCCATGGCAGTTGTGCATCAAGGAATGCATTGGTCAGCATCAAAATAAACCTGTCCGACAGGTCCCATGTACTTTTGAGTCCTCCGAGCAGTAGTCTTCAAGCATACATGTCAATAGCTTCTCACTCAAAGAGAATGAAAAGACAAAATTCTGCTTTTCTTAGATAACTTTCTTATAGAGACATAAAATGTTAGCTTACTAAAAGCTGCTGACTTAGTACCAAATCCGCTAGTTAATTCTATTCTGAATTCACTGATATTATATGAAAGAGTTGCCTCCTCCACAAACCATCTCATGTGGAGTTTCCCTGCACTCTTATTTTCCCTAAATATCAGGTATTTTTATGTAAAATACCAATGTGTCCATTCTTGGACTTGGAACATAGAAACAGATATTAACTAAAATAGTTAATGATTCAATCTAGACAGGCATCAAGTGGTTGTACTTTCCCCCCACAGATGTTATGGTTTAAGTCATTTTCTAATCAGTGGCAATTCCATTTTTTGTTGTAGGAACCTGAATAATTTACAAGAAGGTGAAGAGACACAAAACAGGGTGGAACCAAAGGAAAATTGCCGAGTTAATCCAGTAGTTATCCCATTCCAAAGAAAGAATGCACATGCATGTCCCTTACACTTTCTACTGACCATATTATACTTTTCATCAACGTGCTTTGTTTTCTTACATTATTTGGTGTGCGCTCCACGTGGACAGACTTCGGCAGACTTATGTGAAATGGAATTGGGCAATGTTTAGCTCAGCCAGTCGTGTTAAGATGAAACTGGTCTTCTCATCCTATGTGACTATCCGAGTGTTTTGCATGCCTCTTCTTTGAATGCCCTTTTTAGGTTGCTAATATTTTTTATTTTGTTTTGTCTAGTTGGGTACACAATGAACGATCTCATCTTTGAATGGCAAGATGAGGCACCTGTACAGGTGGCGGAAGGACTCACTTTGCCTCAATTTCTGCTGAAAGAAGACAAAGATTTACGATACTGCACTAAACATTACAATACAGGTCGGGGTTGATGAGTCTTTAAACCTACGACTTGTGGTTTTGTGATATCGAGATGTTTCTTCATTTTCATGCTAGGTTTATTATTTTAACTCTTTGTAGCTCAATGCTTCTCATAGGCATAGAGTAGAACGTGAGCGCCGTTGAAATGTCCAGATAGTTTAACTCATGGTTTATCACCAAATAATTGGTTTGCATGAGACCAAAGAAATTATTGGTGTCCAATCAAATGTAAATAATGTTAATGAACATCCCATTCTTACATAGCATTTGGGTTAGACATCAGATGTAGCTATCAGCACCAGAAATAGAGACTTCGTGTAATATTTGTACATTCACAAAGTCTGTCCACCTCTCTTCACTGACATGAACTATTTCCATGAGACCTAGTCTAACTGTATAACCTATTCCTGTCGATTCCATTAAACTGCCCATGATGGAGGCTCCGCTCCGTCGTGGGGAGTGCACGACTTCCTGCCAGCACTAGCGGCTGCTCTTATCATTTCATTACGGTAACTATGATTCATGCTGGACTGAGTATTTTCCAGAACGGGGACCTGACCTTTCTCTATACAAAGTTCCCGTCTCTCCTATCCCCTTAACAAATTCACAATATGTGATTAAAAAGTTATGAACTTTATTATTTTTTTTTTTTTTTACTAAAAGGCGAAACTGATAATCTAACTTATTGGGGAGTTCAAGGTTAACATCTCAACACAAAGACAGAGGGCAAGTAAGTCGATAGCAATGTCCTTGCTCAACTCTCTGGAGGCAGTTTTACTAATAAATCCTTTTTAGAGAAATGCTACAGAACTCCAAGAGTCAGACTAGGGAGCTGTGTTAGTGTCCTAGGGATGCCATTGTAAACAATCACAAACTTGGTGACGTAAAACAACAGAATAATTCTCTCATCCTTCTAGAGGCTAAATGTCCAAGATCAAAGTGACACCTGGGTGTGCTTTCTCTCCAGGTCCCAGGGAAAAGCTATCTATTTCTAGCTGTCCATTTCTGGCAACCCTCGTTATTCCTTGACTGGTAGATGCATCACCTCAGTCTCTGCCGCTGTAGTCACAGGGCATCTCCCTCTGTGTCTCTGTAACTAAACTTCCTTTTTCTTTTTTTTTTTTTTTTTGAGTTGGAGTCTCACTCTGTCACCTAGACTGGAGTGCAGTGGCCACTCCCGGCCACCGCAGCCTCCACCTGCTGGGCTCTGGCAATCCTTCCGCCTCAGCCTTCCAAGTAGCTGGAACTACAGGCGCGCACTACCACGCCCGGCTAATTTTTGATTTGTTGTAGAGATGATGTCTCGCCAAGTTGCCCAGGCGGGTCTCGAACCCGCAGGCTCAGGCAATCCACTCACCTCAGCCTCCCAAAGTACTGGGATTATAGGCTGAGCCACCAAGCCCGTCTAAACTTCCCTTTTCTTATAGAACATAAGTAATATTGCACGTAGGGCCCTCCCTAACCCAGTACATGCTCATTTTAACTTGATTACACTCACAAATACCTATTTCCAAATAAGGTCACTGTCACAGGCATTGGGTAGTCATGAATTTTAAAGAGAGAACAATCAACCCAGAACACGAAATGGGTGATGTTGTAAGCATCAATTAAACCCTTCCTTAGTGTAAAGTAAATTTGCATACTTCATTGATTTATCCACTGAGCTATTATGGCTTAGTGGAAAATAGCTTATGCTTATGAATGCCTACTAGAAGCAAGATTTGGACAAGTGTTTTCTTGGATGATATCATAAAGATCTCACAGTAACCTGAGATTTAGGCACAATGTCTTGTTTAAAATTATGCAGAGAATAAAAGCATCTGACAAGGTGCTTAATCAGGTATGTGGCTAATTTGCCTCAGACCCCAAGCTCTATTTTATATCTACTTTTCCAATACACAGGAACATTCTGTTCATTATTTTCCAGTAATAGCCTCAGATACCACATAACTCTTCCACGTTCCTTGTGAAATATGAAAAACAAACCCACAAAAACACTAGGTCACATAACCAGTTGAAAATACCTTTTCCACTCATACAATAAAATAGACTAACGTTGGAAATGCCTTCACACAAAAATGCATGGCACAAACGTGAAGGATTTGTTGTTTTATTTTCAGTATCCCAAAGTATTTATTTACTATCTACTGCAAGGCTCTCTAATCTGTCTCCTGCTAATAATCTCTCTAAAGTCTTCTACTCTTCTTCCTGTTGCTCTGTCATCTCTGGCTACAAAGGTTTGTTCGCTCATGTTCACCAAGCTCACGTCACCCTCAGAGCCTTTGAACTTCTTCTTTCTGCATGTAAGGGTTTCCCCCAATTTGCTCCAAGCCGAATAACGTTTGCATTCTTCAGGACTACTCAAGTGCCAACTCTTGAAAGATCTGTAACAAGTATGTGTTAAACACCACAATCCCCCTCCACTTCTCACTTTCATTGTCTGGATGAATTCACATTTCCACCATGGTATATGAGCATTCTCCCTTCTTCACATTCACGCCAGCATTTCTTATTTTCTTTCTTTTTGATAATAGCCATTTTCATTGGAGTGGTTTGATATGGTGGTTGTGGTTTTGATTTGCACTTCCCCGATGATTAGTAAATTTGATTTTCAAAAACAGCTTTTAAAAGTAAATACACAGACCGGGCTCAGTGACTCAGCCTATAATCCCAGAGCTTTGGGAGACCGAGGCGAGAGGATTGCCTGAGTCTGCAGGTTCGAGACCAGCCCAGGCAACTTGGCGAGACTTCGTCTCTGCAATAAATCAAAAAATTAGCCTGGCGTGGTAGCTCATGCCTGTAGTTCTGGCTACTTGGAAGACTGAGGCGGAAGAATCTCCTAAGCTCAGCAGGTCGAGGCTGCCGTGGCCTTGAGCGTGCCACCGCACTGCAGCCTGGGAGACAGAGTGAGACACCAACTCAAAAATAAATAAATAAATAAATATAAATAAATACACAATGAGGGCATTTTTTTTCTGGAGAATCACCTAAAACTTACAGAACTTATACAAAATACTCAATTTTTTACTAATCATGTGATAAAAGAAAAATTAAATTGAACAGAATTTCACTGAGTAAAGAACTATTTGCCAATCAGAGAACTTCCTTCAGAGACTCTAGTATAGCCACATGGTGGAAAATTTATGGACAAGGAACAGAAAAGGGGCACATAGAAAACCGAAGTGAGGTACAGAAACAGCCGATTTGATAACAGCTCCACGTTTTTCTTGAACCTGTTTTGAACAGCTGGCCACCTTTTACTGGCCAAAACTAGGTGACTGGCACGAGAATAGGTGATAGTCTATTTACACTTAGATAAGAGTCTATTGTCACCTATTCCAGCTAGGTGGCAGTTCGCCATGTGAAACAGGTCACAGAGAAACCTCTAGGTCAAACTCAAAATGTGCAAGGGGGCAATTTTGGGCTGAACTTAATTTAATACATACTATAAAATTACTTAGTGAGTTATTTGACTGTGATATCATAAAACTGTTTCAGTTATTCTTGCTCCAACTCATTTTGTTATTTTAAATAATGAAAAATGTTAAATCTTCATATTTAATGACATTGAAATCCAAAGGATTTCATATATTTCAGAAATATTTAGGCATTCTGTGTATGTGATATGTGATGGCCTGAGAAAAGGATCAAGTATGACTTACACATATGTTTCTGATTACTGGATACTTCAAAGTAGATTCCAACTCTCCTGAGCTTATGAACTTTTGTTGAGATGTAAGCCCTGGAATCACATCCATTCTTCATCCTGAGGCATGCCCAAGTGTCTATCACCAGTGTAGTCACTTGTGGCTCAGGTCATATTAGTAGAAAAGTTCAATTGAAGCCTATCTAGCAAAGCAGCAGCAATTTTTCTGGTGAGCAGAGATACTCTTTGACATCTTTCTTGCATGGCAAGTCACAGAAACTTAGAGAGCAGAATGTTTACTCTCTGACCGCATTCTTCTCAAAATCATTAGAATAAAGAGAAAATAAAACCAAGAATTAGGTGTGTCATCCAAAAGACCACCGGGATGGCTAAACATTAGAAAAATATATTGTTTTGCAAGCCAGAAAGAGAGGGTGGACAGGTTGGGTTTTATGCCTCATGAAGTCCATATTACACAATAGTCATACATCTTCAACAGGTTTGGGAGAAGAGCCATACATATTTTAAAGAGAAGCAGAACACGTGCAATGGGTAAACATATATGTTACATACATCCTATGTTCACTTTGTGGCAGGGTTTTAGCACTAAAACAAGGTAGAATTTGTCTCTGGACATCAAAAGGTGAAGAATAAAACACAAGGGCAGTTTGTGTGCAGCCCCTATAAGCCGGCTAAACTGGCTGAGATCTGCAATTGCTTATCTGAAAAGAGTGTTTGTAAGGCCAGTTCTCTCTCCAATTGGAGTTGTAGTAGTCTGAGGTTTAATTAGAGGTCTTATTGTTGGGGAGTTTAACAAAGTTGGAATCTACTTTGAAGTATCCAACAAAAATAGTTGGTTTGCCTTGTAGCCATAGGAATTTAAAAATTTGCCAAACCAGCCAAGCCCTAAACCCTCTACCCATAGTTAACCTTATTTCTTTAACCTTAGAGTCTGTCTTAGTTGATAAAGGGGCATCTATTTTGGTCTCTCAAATCACAGGTGATTTAGAAGAACAAATTGTTTAAGGAGAGATAATGCAGAATAGTAGAGAAACAGAGAACAGTAGAGATAATGGAATAGAAAGCAGAACTAAGGATAAGCAGAAATATCAACTTAATGTCTAATTAAACCATAATTTACTTCTCTATTTATTGCTCACCATACTAGAGGTAAGTAATAGAGACACAAAGTCTTAAATATATGATGTAATGTGTCTGCTTGTCCCTAGTAAGTGTGTTTTTAAGTCATGTTTAAAGTTATTAATGGAAAATATACATTTTTCTACTTGGTTGCTTTATTATTTAAGAAACCGTTCGTTTGCAATCATAATTATTCCTTAACACTTACTCTCTAGTGAATGTAAAAGGCTCTAGAACAAAGAGCTCCTGCTCTAAATAAACACTTAAAAGTACCAGAAACAGTCAATGAGTAAAGATGATCTTTATATAATAACTATATCGTTCTCCTTCTACCTCAGAAGGAATTTTTAGAATCAAGTGAAATAATAGATCTTTGAGTGCTTTGGCAAGTATGAAGTGCTATTCAAATGAGAAGTAGTAACATTACACACTATTTCCTGAATGAGTACAGTCTTTTATTGCATTGCTTCTAGAGGCTAGCAGAGAAAAAGACATTTCAGAAACCAATATGAATATGTGATTTAGGGTCTCTTTTCATTGTAATGGAAAATCTTATGACAGAATCATTAGGAAAATGAAATTGTGATATTTGATGCCACAAGAAGAACTGTCTCTGCTAATTGCTGGATTTATTTTACAAACAATTAGGAAAGTTCACGTGCATAGAAGTGCGATTCCATCTCGAGCGCCAGATGGGATACTATCTCATCCAGATGTACATCCCCAGTCTCCTGATTGTGATTCTATCCTGGGTTTCATTCTGGATCAATATGGATGCAGCTCCAGCCAGGGTGGCCCTGGGGATAACTACAGTGCTGACGATGACAACACAGAGCTCGGGGTCTCGGGCTTCATTACCGAAGGTGAGTGCCCTGGGTGGTCGTGCACATGCCTGATCACATACTTATAAAGAGACCGTTGTCGGCTTTTGTTGGGCCCTGAAACCTCCACCTGAAGGTAACCTTGTTTCCTTAACCTTAGAGTGTGTCTTAGTCGAAAAAAAGGGCATCTATTTTGGTCTCTCAGATCACAGGTAATTTAGAAGAACACATTTTTAAAAGAGATAACATAGAGTGGTAGATATAATACAGTAGAGAGCAGAACTAGGGGATAAGCAGAAATATCAATTTAATGGTTTATTAAACCATAATTTACTCCTTTATTGCTTTTACTAGGGGTAAGTAATAGAGACATAAAAGCATAAGTATATTTTTCAATAGCATTTATTATTCATTACTGATTTTTAAAGGAATACGTAACCACACAGATAACTTGTAAAGCACAGAAATAAATGAGGAAGAAAAAGCTATAAACTGGTGAAATCTGTTATTCGTATTTTGTGTTATGATTCTTAATTAGTTAAACACAAGTGGCACTCTTCTGTACCATGGTATTATTTGTTCATATAGATTTTTAAAGATTTAGAAATACAGTACACATTTATTTAAGTTGAATCTACATGGTAATTTTAAATAGTAGCAGAGTACACCTGTGTATAGATATGCAATAATTGACTCACTATTAGGACTGACACTATAAAGAACATTTATATAGTAAATGCTATATGTGTGAATGTGTATATACGTGTGTATGTGTCTATATGTGCCATATATACCGTCTATTTATTTATACACACATATTGTATGTGTACACAAATATATTTTAATCAATATATAGACATATATGCATATATATGCACATATACCTATACATAGCTTCCCACAAACTTTATTATTTTATTGGTATACATTCTTAGAATCAGACTTGCCACACTGATAGTTGTATGCATTGATACAAATTGCCAAATTTACCACCAGAAGAACATTACAAGCACATTCCCACAAGTGTTATATCGGTGTTCCTCATAGTGCTATAGCCTGGATCAAGTATAATTCTTATTATTTTTGGTTTTTGTTTTCTGTGACTTTTAAGTAGCCATAGGACAAGAGGAAGAATTGTCTAATTTTATACAGTCCATACTGAGCTGCCAGAACTAAAAATAAAATTGTTCCCTTTGTGATGTTTGTAAAAGATTCAATATTTCTTTTCATAAGGTGCAGTGAAATAAAACATAGGAAGCTCTTTTCTTTCATTTATAAGCATAGAAATAGAAAATTATTTTCTTTCCCCAAAATGAATTCTAAGAAGAAGTTTCTATCATCTAAATTAAGTAATCTTGCAACACCTTTAAGAAGCTTTACTATTATTTTCATTGAAATGATGTACTTCAGTATAATAAAATTATATTAACTTTTCTAATGCATATGATAACGTCTTGCCACATCAAGTAAATTATAAATCTACCATCATGGCTCCCTTTGCTTTCTCTATGAAATCACTCTGATTCATTTTATTCCATTAAAATGCTTAAATAAATAAAAATTGGCAACAGGATACTTTTTCATTAAAAATGTTACTGAGAAGTAACTATATTTAACATGCTTACTTGCCTCAATAAAATTTATTGATTGTCTTTCAAATAATGTCCACTTTTATTAACACTTAATTGTATTTCGAAAATGTTCCATATCAGCTAGTATTTTACAAAATATTGTCAGTATGAAAATTATAAATATGTTTATAGGCTTAAGCTAATAAGTCTCAAGCTTGTTTATATAAATACAAATGTCTCAGGGGCTCTAAGTAATAGTTCAAATTCCATAGTGTAAAGGAAATCACCAGTTTACTCATTGATTTCCAAGAGCTAAATAGAATTAAAAGTCTATTTGTTCTGTACGTTGTCGACTAGAAAGAAGAAAGCAAGACTCTCTGTGTCAGAAATTGATGGGTTCTAGGGGCCACAGCAGAAAGTCATTTAGATACAGAGAAAGGTAGAGTTGAGGGAGCATAGAGGTAGAGTAGACACAGAAATAAGAAAAGCAATAAATTAAAAAGACAGAATGAAGGCACAACTTTAAAAAAGGGGGAACAAGAAGGCTTAGGACTACTTCATATTTTTTCTAAAAAAAATAAAAGAGATTGTTCTTAAGGCATTAATTTCACCAAGATCCTGAAAAATGAATAAATTTGCAGCCATGAACTCTCAATTATACACATACAAGTATGCAAACCTCTCTGCCTCTCAGATCACAGAAACAAGTACCCCTGGAAACGTGGCAGCAGGTATTATCTCTGACTCACAAGAATTGATTGACAAAGTGATGTTAAGAGAAGGTGACTGTATCATCTTAGACTTTGGGAGAGTTCAGAAACAGGAGGTCAGGCATATTTAATTACATATATTTGATTTTAGAAAGGCAAACCCAGGATAAACAACAAGAATTAATCTATTAGATGACTTCAAAAGAGTAGAAAATCTCTTGAGGAATACATTTCTGATCCTGTGGCTTTTTTAGGGCTCATACTTCCATTTAGAAACAGATGTCTGAGATCATGCACCCTCAGATCTGCTGTTCTTGGCTGGGCACGGTGGCTCATACCTGCAATCCCAGCACTTAGGGAGACAGAGGTGAGAGGATTTCCTGAGCTCATGGTTTGAGACCAGCCTGGACACCTGGTCGAGACCTCATCTCTACAATAAAACAAAAAAAATTAACCAGGTGTGGTGGCGCATGCCTGCAGTTCCAGCTTCTTGGAAGGCTGAGGCGGAAGAATCGCCTGAGCCCAGAAGGTGGAGGCTGCGGTGGCCTTGAGTGTGCCACTGCACTCTAGCCTGGGCGACAGAGTGAGACTCCAACTCAAAACAAACTAACAAAAAAGATCTGCTATTCCCAACCTCACAGAAGCAACCTCAGATGTCTGAAAATCTTGCCACTACAACGTTCACCTACTGACAAATTCCAGGAAATAGTAAAAAAAATTAAATTCAGGAAAACAATAAATTATCAAACATAGGAAGAAGAAACAATAAATCATGAATTTATGAAAATTACTTAGTGTCTTGTCTAGGCTCTGTGCCAACACATCTCCTGTAAGATAAGAAGGAGCTTGGAAATCCGTCAAGTAAGGCTCAGAGAACAAAATCTCAAAGAATATACGTTAGCCAGCTCCTTGGAAGCTACAGAGTTGAGGTTCCTCTCTCACATTTCCTGTTGCTCGTACCTCTATAGCAGCTGGATAAATCAAGAAGACTCCTGTGATTCATTCCTTGGAACTTGGCACTGTTTTACATTTTTTCATGGACTATATCAGGTGACCAGAGGAGGGAAATATATGCATTCAATTGCCAGCAAATTTTCAAGGTTATATAATTTTAGGAGCCCTTCTCTATACCATGTGCTTGGAGGAGAGAGTAAGTGAGAAAAAGTGGTGGTGATCATGGGGTCACATCAGAGGGTTTTATAAACCTTGGCAGCAGTTAAGTTTACTTTGGGTGGAGTGGTGGGCCACTGAAGAATTCTAATAAGGGCAGCTTAACAAGGGTTCATCTCCACAAAAAAAATTAGCAGGTCAAGGTGGCACATGCCCGTAGTCCTAGCTACTCAGGGGGCTGAAGTGGAATGGTCACCTGAGCCCAGGAACTTGAGGCTGGGTGAGCCACAATTATACCACTACACTCCAACCTGGGTGACAGAGTAAGACCTTGATTCAAAAAAAAAAGAAAGATAATAGAGAAAAGAAGGTGGAGGGGGGAGTGAGGGAGAGGGGAGGGGAGAGGAAAGGCAGGGAGGGGAGAAGAGGAGTAGGGAGAGGAGAGGAAAGGAAAAGAAAAAAGAAGCCGGGCACGGTGGCTCAGCCTGTAATCCCACGCCTTTGGGAGGCTGAGGTGAGTGGATT